TTTGTATTTGGAAAATGCCAAAATTAGAGGCTTTATAGGTGCTAATTAGGTAGGGCCCGATAATTCCCAGAATATTACCGTCATCTACATCCGACCTCAATAATTTTTCAGTACTTAATTACTAGCTATTAATATTTATCGTATTTATATTATCGTCACTGCGTTGCCAGCGATACATTTTGCCAGCAACGCAAACAACAGTTCGTTGCGGTGAAAATTTAAAAGCACCTAATTTTTAAAATTAGCACCTTATTAGCAGCAAAAAGCTTCTAATTGGCTTTTTCTAAATGCAAATTCCTGACTTTGCGTTGCGGATGATGATACACAACTAAAATCTAGTAGTTCAAAAAATCGGAAATATGCAGTTGCATATGTAAATATATATGTTTTGATGTCATCCCAATAGGTTAGTTAAGTAAGTTGAGTTAAGCCACGTATTCATTGAGAAAGAATTGTTTATAAACACTGTTTCGGAAACAAAATCTATTTATTTTTGGCTGCGGGTGTATAGTTTAAACATTTGTATGAAATGGTGTAGTTGGAACGATACTGGTTTTAAAACTAAGGGATTGCTCGATTATAAGAAGACGTTGGGAATTCGTTTTGCATTTTCTTTCAATTGGTGCTGTGTTGCGTAAGAACTAATTTTTTTTACAAAGTACGACGACAGGAGGTACTTGTGGTTGGTGATACTTTAAATAAAACAGTGAGTGCATTATTTATATTTTTTTATGTAAACAGCTGTAGGCAAATATTCTATCTAACATATACGAAAACACTACCGCCATAGCATTCTCCTTAAGCTACATTGTTTTACCACGACAGGCTTCCTCTTTCGCTCATGAAATATTCACCAAATTGATCCCTTATGATTGTAGCAGTATATGCTGAATTTCTAGGTTGCCTTTCCAATTCCAACATTGAAGGCCCTTCACATGTATACACTCTACGCCAAACAGCTTCTACAACATTATGTGCAGTGTCTTCAAAATCAAAAGTTATTGGGGGCGTATACAAGTCTCTAGATTGATTGTTTATTACTTATTAAAAAGTTATGCAAATAAAGACAGGCCATTACAATAAGTTCACAAGTCTCAGGCTTGAGAGGAATTGGTTTACGAAATACACGAAAAACCACGCAAAAAATTCCATAATCATTTTCTGCAACCCTTGTTGAAAGTGAATACCCAGTTATGGCCTCATTAAGTTTTCCGATAATGGGAATACACTATCGCCCAGTATTACATAAGGAAGGTCCGGTCCGTCTGGTGATATTGTTTCTTGGTTTGGAATACGGACTTCCACCATTCTTTGATAGAAACTCGTTTCTTGAAAGATGCCACTGTCAGATGCTCTTCCTTTCGCATCACAGTTTGCATATATAACATTATAAGATGCATCTACAATAGCCAGTAGTACAATACTAAACTGATCTTGTAGTTGTAGTAATCACTGTTACTATTGCTAGGCGCTTCAATTACTTCATGCTTCTCATCTATAGCTCCGATACAGTGTGGAAAATTACACTCACGGGCCTTTTCTTTCCAGTGCGCTTCGGTACTCGGAAATTTATAAAAAAACAAATGTGATTCAAATTGCAGTAAAACCGTGAAGACCTCCTGGCAACTGAGGAGCCAGAACAGCAATCTGTGCAGCAGGGACCACAATCTCCACTACCACCATCCCCACTACCATCTACAAGTAGCAAAAAAATACCCAAAAGAAAAGTGGATGACAATCTAAAGGACGTATTTGAAATAATTAAATCTGCAAAACGCAAAAAGGATGAATATGATATTTATGGGCTCCCGAATTAAGAGCGGTGCAAAACAAGATTGCCGTAATACAGGCCAAGGCTTATATTAATAATAATTTAATCGACTTGCGAATGGGAATGCATGCTGTGTGCGTAAGGGCAAGTGACACCGGTGCGAATGATATGCCGATGTGTAATGTATGCCGTACTACGCACTGGCAAAGTGATGCCGGTGAGAACGGTGTGCCGGTGCAAATCAAGTATAAATCTGCGGTGAGTCGAGATGAAGACAAGTTGGACTGGCGTTCAGGAAATGAAGACTGCAGAAGACGATTGTCAGTAGTGAATGGTAGGGGTTCTTGAGTATAATGACGAAGGTTTGAAATTGTAATTTCCGAAGGTAATGGTTGCGTATTCAGTCCAGATCACGTTGGGTGGTCACCACTATGGACATATTCCACTACCGTGGAAGGAAAAAGGGGGAACTCCCACCGGGCAAGGTGTTGTGCCCGGGGAGCGGCCAACGCTCCATGTGATAGTTCGGAGCTGTTCTATATATACTATTTATGATTAGGAATTTCGATAGCGCGATTTAGGCTTCGGTGTGTTTCGCTTGTGGCGCGACGACAGCGCCGCCACAACGTAATACGTTATCAAACAAGCCCACTGCTAAACATAGATCTACCTAATTATAAGCATATTTGCCATCGCGTCAATGTTTGGCAGGCGGGTTGTCAACAGCATTTTTTATTTTGAGTTGTGATTAGGAAGATGCTGCTGTACTGTGTCTGTTTGTTTGTTTCAGTTTCTCGCTGTTGCCTCTTACGACACGATGATGGATAGATTTTCCTTTAAGCCGCCACTACCATTTAAGGCGTGGCCAATGATTGGCCTTTTATCTGTGGTCATGCGCCTTAAAAGTTCATGTAACTTTGATAATTGAAAAACTTTTTGCTGGGTTTATAAAAAACCTGAGACACAACAGGAAAATTATTATGGTGCTTTTAAGTAGAGCTTTGAATTACTTGTTCAGCTTTTTTATTAACCCCTGAGTGGGATCTTAATTACCAACCGCTTTCAGAAGCTCAGCTGTTTAGGGAAAAAAAATTACTATGCTTTCTTAACTGGCACTTAGCCATAGCCATTATCAAAATTCTTATCTTTTCAGTTTAAAATAGATAATTTCCAAACACGATTTCCAAAAAAAAAAAAAAAAAAAATACCGAGCAAAGCTCGGTTATCCAGGTACTAATAATATTAATACCATAACAAGTATGTATTATAATAACCCTATACTTTTTACTTCTTCTATACTTGTAACAATTTTGGTTGTAACATCTGTTATAATTATTATTGTTACAAGTACATATAATGTACAATATTGCAGATTAAATGTCTGTAGATTTACTTTTTTCAATAAAACATTTATAATTTATGCAGTAACAATAAGTGGTATTTTTTGTATTAATTTTCGTAAACTTCTATGTGATCGTTTAGTTAATAAATATTATATATATATTTATTAACTAAACGATCACATAGAAGTTTATTATTAGTTAGAATTAAACCACACACTTTTTTAAACCATCATTAAAAATAATAATCATGGTGAAATAATTATGTTTTGTCCACTTCAGCGTTATTCTAACTACTTATTTAAAATCGAGTATGACCCCATTCATTAAGTATAGAAGGTTTTTAAAATATACTTTTAGGGAAGAACAATAAAGGAATGGTGATTGACTATTTTTATTGTAGTTTCTATTTGCAATTTATTCCAAATAAATTCAAAATGTGATTCAGATAAAAAAAAACCTGCAACAGTTCATAAAAATCGGTACTTGGGCATTCCTAATCATTTTCAAAACCACATTATGTTTGGCGAAGATGGCGGCGATTAATGTTAATAATCGAATAGAATACTTTTTAATGTACATTTTGGCACGCAACTAGTCAATGTTGTAAAAGTATTTGCAACAAATATAATAAAATAGATAATTTATTATCGTGTATGTCTGATGCTTTTACTGCACAAGGCGATTTTAGACATTGTTCTTTACAGATGTACTATTTCTCAAAAAAAAAATGAGTAATATAATAAAAATAAGTGATTTTATCCTATGTAAAAATATAAAAAAATTGATAGGATTTTTTATATTGTGCCTCAAATAAGATATATGATTCTACGAGTAAAGTTAAATTTACAGCCTATGTACGTCTTATTGCTGGGCACAGGAGGTAGAATTGTTCTGAGAGGAGGCAGAGGGTTGAGAGGTGAGAGGGGTATCTCAGCTCAGGGCTAAGAGCTCGTTGTGAACTTTACAGCACTCGAGCAACCCGGGTTCGACCTCGCCAAAGAAATAACAAAAAAATATTTCGAACACGTAAAGTTTGCCAACACTCATTGGGGCAGCGCAACGAACATTTCCTTACCCTAAAACCCTATCAGAAATACTTGATTTAAAATGAAATCAATTTTTATGGATATTATCGCGTTTAATTTACGTATTTTTATACTTTCATTATGTTTAGACTGCTTTCACGAGTCACACAAGGAACTAGAATGTTGCGGACTAAACGTACGGAAATAAATAAAATGTCAGCAATAAAATTCGAAAAAAAAAATGCATCCAATGCGTTAATCATACTAAAACTGTAATGGCGTATCCACACATGCCGCCGGCTTATGCCGCCGGGTTTGCCGCTAGCTTTCAGACTGCCTTGCCGCTAAATTTGCCGCCGGCCTTACCGGCGGCCTGCAGATGCTGTTGCAATTTTCGCAGTAGTGTTGTGACTTTCGTTGAAGTTAGTCGTGTACGTAAGATTGGAAGATGTTGGACTATAATATAGTTGCGTGTATCGCAAGTGTAGCGTTGTATGTTATTATTCATAAAAAGAACCGCAAAATCAAACGAAGACATTGGGTCAGACCAAGTCTACGAAATAGGCCTAAGGTGTCCCTCATACTTGAAGATTTTAGAAAGGACGACATAAACCGAAGAAATATTCGTTCGAAATTTAACACTTTTCATAAATTCTTCAGTTTTCTCTCAATTTCTGATGATGCTATGTTAAACACAGAAGCAATATCTCTAATAGCATCATTTCTTTTGTTGCGATTTTTGAAATCCATATGCCTTGGGTTCCACAATAGTTCATTTTCTTGATACTTTTCTATTAGTAAAAGTACTGCACTATCATCCCAGTTAAATTCTGTCATTTCGTTGTTTAAGTATATGAAATTATGTTATTCACGAATACTACAACACTACCACTCCGTATCGAAGCCGCAAGCAAAAAAGCCGCCGGCAACCAAAAGCCGCGCGTGCCGCAGGGGAGGGCCGGCGGATTGGCCGCCGGCCATGCCGCCGGCCGTGCCGCCGGGCATGTGTGGATGCACCATAAAAATTATAGAAATTCTGAAAATGACTTCATTTTCGAAAGCGATTATAGTTAACTTAAAAAAATGATTAACTAAAACAATAATTCAACAAATTATACTTTATTTGCATAATCACAATATTCCATAAAACTAATAAATGACTACAGTCTATTTGCAGAACCGCGCCTTAAAATAGTCTTAAAAATGCAACACTTATCATTATTGTAAGTGAACAAAAATGCAATTGTAGATTAGCAATCTGCACCTTTCTATGAGCCAATATATCCTAAATGAATGAAATACACTTTAGTTCTGTGATGGAAGGTTTAGGAGTACATTTTGGCCTGGAGGTAGATAAGTTACATTTCGTGATTTTGATAGTTGATAGGCAATGTCTTCAGCAGCTTCAATGCGTCTTAGTTCAACGAGACCTTCTCCCGCTGTACCAAACGATTTTGCTAGTAATATCGCTGCTTGGGCATCACCTTCTGCTGCTATTACAGCCGCTTTTTTCTGTTGTTCTGCCTTCTCTACAAGGAACCGGGCCTTTTCAGCGTCTTGTTGCGCAACTTGTTTCAGTTCTACTGCCTGGGTGAACTCTTTGCCAAATGTTAAATGTGTGATGGATATGTCATCTAAAATTAGGCCAAATTGATTTGCTCTTTCAGTAAGGCTTTCGCTAACTTTTTGTGAAACAACCTGTAAAATGATAATTTTTACTGAATAAATGCAGTTTTTTTGTTTCTTTATTTCATGCACAGTTAATACAAATGGAATCGATTCCAAATGTGTCAAATTTATCAAACATTTTCATATTTTTAATTCACTGAAAAAATAGTGTGTGCAACTACAGGGGAGTTGCACTCACTATTTTCTTAATCCAATTGCATATACAGGACATTTTTATAACATTGATTTAGCCCTAAACACAATTTAATAAGCATAAATACCTATTTACTGCCAGACCCGTGTGATTAGATTTATAAACTTGCCATAAACAACATTAACATACAGAAAAAAAAATCGAAATGATTTTGGTATAATTAAATGTGTTTGGTACCAACAAAAGATACAACATTTCATACAATTTAAGTGACACAAAATACTACGATTTTCTTCAGCTTTTGTTGAGATATCTACAGTAAGTATGGATGAAAATACTGGATGACCTTTTTACCCTCTGGAAAAAATAGGGTGTAACATGTGAAAGGAGTAGAAGCCTATGGCACTGGTATTTTACAAAAAATAAAAACAAAAATTGAAATTAAATAAAGAAATCAATCAAAATCTATGGAAACTCAAATCATACCCACCCTACTTTACGAGTGGCAATAAAACAATATATTTAGTAGACCTCTTAGTCATTGTCCTTTTGCAGGACCACAGGCTCAAGGTCTTGAATTAAATGTTTGAGAATTTTTTTTGAACAATTACTTTGCCCTTTGCCCTTGAGCCTGTGAATCTGCGAGGCGACAAGGTCAAAGATGCCTACTACATTTATTGTTTTATTAGTTAATACCGTTCGTAAGGTAGGGTGGATATGATTTGAATGTCGATAGATTTTAATTCGTTTCTTTATTAATTCAAAACTTTAGTTTTTATTTTTTGAACAATATTTACTGCCATAGGCTTCTACTTTGTTCACATGTTACACCCTATTTTTTTCCAGACAGTAAAAAAGGTCCAATATAATGATATCTATGGGTTTATATAAGGCGATGGGTTCTCTTATGTCACAACCATGTGGCATTTTAATTTAATACAAAATTTTATGTTTGTAAATTTATAAGAAATGTTACTACATAACATTCCAATTATTTCATTTATTTCCAAAATTATAGAATGGATTTTTAATTTAGTTATCCTCTTTAAAAAATATTGAAAAAATGTATTACCTCTCTCTGTGTAATGAGTTCTCCGGCATCAAATTGCGCAACCACCGCTTTTAAAACCTCAGCAGTAATAGAGGGAAGCACTCTTTCATCATAATCTATACCAAGAATGGTATAGATCCTTGGCAATTGGTCTGGTATAGGTCTGAATAGAATACGTAATGTAATGTTCACATTTTGAAGATCTGAAATGATATATGTAATAAAATATTAGTTTTCTTAATGAAGAAGGTATCTCACACTAAACCTAAGTTCACTTCATTGCATCAATAATCCAAATGTAGTGTTTTAAAAGGAGAGTAAAACATACTTTTTAAAAAGACCTTTATCTACTAGGCTAGAGGTGCAAGTAATATAAATTTTAATTGAAAACTGAGTAACCTGCACATTAGAAGACAAAACTCTAGTGATCAATGAATAACAGAAATTTTATCCAAGAATGCTAAACTTAAATTTCACAGATTTGTATAGGGAGCAGCATTACCACTGTGAGTGTGTGTATTGGCTGTATGTTCACCAACTTGCTCTGACCTGTTTCGTAAGTATGTGACAAATCTAAGTATGTCCCAGCAAGGGTCTTAAAAAGGTATGAAGAGTAATTAGAATTTAGAGCAATTAAAAATTATTAAGATGAAATAATAGGTGATAACTAGACATCGGATTATATGCACTAACAAAGTGCCAAAATATGCATGCAAATATGCACTAAAAAAGGGCGAAATATGCACTTAACCCTCTTAAAATTCCCATGCAGTCGCATGCGTCCGTCAAATCCCGCACTTTAAACCATTAAAACTTATAATAGGTCCTTACATATGAAATTGGCGTTTTGTACGGGAGGAATATAAAGTCAATTTTTTTGTAAAATATATTTAATTAAACAGAGTATGCATCGTTGTTATCTATGCACTTTTGCCATCTCATAGGAGTTCATTGATCCTTTTACTAAAAAAACCATGGGGGCGAAGAATCAATAAACTCTTTGAAGGCGGTTTGGGCTGCCGCATTGGAGTTGAATTTTTTTCCTTGTAAGAAGTTGTCCAAATTCCGGAAAAAATGGTAATCTGTTGGAGCAAGGTCCGGGGAGTACGGTGGATGTCGCAGAAATTACAATTGTAGCTCACCTAACTTAGTGGTTGTTTGTTGTGGTTGTTTGCTTGTCTAAGTGACCAATCTCGGTTGTTGAGCAGCTAGTTCTTCCTTCATGGTTTGCAGTTGCTGACAATAGATATCTGCCGTAATCGTTTGGCCAGATTTTAGAAAGCCGTAGTGAACGACACCGGCGCTAGTCCATCAAACACTCATAAGTAACTTTTTCTGAAACAATTTTCGTTTAGGGTAGGATATGGCTGGGTCTTCAGGGTTCAGCCATTGCGACGAGCGCTTCCGATTATCGTACAGTATCCACTTTTCATCACAAGTAATGTTTCGATTTAAAATCCCTTCATTTTTCTGTTAGTTGAGCAAAGTAACACAGCAGTCGACGCGTGTTAGCAAGTTCGATTCACTCGATTCATGAGGTACCCAACGTTAAAAAAATTTTTACTTTTCCGATTTGCTTCAAGTGGATTAATACAGGTTTATCTCTTACCCCGAAGCCTGCAGCTATCTCTGAAGTGCTTTGTGATGGATCCGCTTCCACAATAGCCTTTAATTCTTCATTTTCCATTTTGGTTTCCGGCCGTCCACAGGGTTGGTTCTGAAGGTCGAATTTTTCAGAACGAAAACGTTGGAACCAAAAACGTACCGTGATTTCTTTTGCGATACCAGCGCCGTACACATCAATAATCCTTCGAGCTGTTTCTTCAGCACTGGTGCCACGGTAGAACTCGTACTCGTAAATATACCGATATTTCATGTTTTCCATTGTGCGGTAATAAGCGACGCCAAAGAAAAGAATTATGAGGAAAAAACAAATAAATAACTGTTTTCAGAACCGAAATGTACCAGCTAAATGAATTTATAAATTTGAATTTGGAATTCTTAACCACAAAGGAGATATTTCAGATCAGTGATCAGTACGACAAAACGCTGATTTCATATGTAAGGACCCAATATTTAAAGACTTCTCTATAAAGAAGTTTGGCATTATAGAATCTATACGAAATTCTCTATCCTGTCGCCTAAACCAACATCAGTTACTCTATGTATTTTATTTTTATTCTCCTGTCAATTTACGCCATTTGCCGACCATACGAAAATGGCGCAATTTTACGGTAGATTAAAAATAAAAATTCATAGAGTAACTGACTTTTGTTTAGACTATAGAATAGAGAATTTCTTATATAATTTATAATGCCAAATTTCTTTAAAGAAAAGTAGTCTATAAATATAAATTGTAATGGTTTAATCTATACAAAATTCTCTATTCTATAATTTAAACAAAAGTCAGTTATTCAATGGATTAATTATTACAAAAATACTTTATTGTAATACATAACTACATACCAAGCGGATGTCAGTAGCGTGAAAATTACTATTATTTCAACGTATTACTCGAAATTATTTACGTAAAAAGATAAATTTTATTCCCACAAAAACTTTCATAACAATTTTATAATATAAAAAAACTGTTATTAACATAGATAAATCCAAAAATCAACGCAACAATGTACAACAACGAACAATCGACAATGACGCGCTTTGCCAGTAGATTATAAATGAATATCTATAGACTAACTGAATTTTTATTCAAGTAAAAAATAGAAAATTTCATATTGATTCTAAAATGCCAAACTTCTTCATAGAGCAGCAGTCTTGAAATATAAGTTTTTATTGGATACAGTGATGTGGGTGGGTGCGGTCTCATGAGACCGCTAGGAGATTAAGCGGTTAAAACTGTTGATATGCTCAAAATATACACAATGCAAAATCAAAAACCATTAACCATTACCAAAAATAAAGATATTTTTATGTATTTTAACTAAAGACTGTATAAAACCCCGAAATGTTCTTAAAATTTTACATAGTTTGTATGACAATATACAATTAAGTATTTTTCCAAATTTTAGAGCGCAAATTTGTGACATTTGTCATCCAGTTCGACCTATCTACATTAACTGTCAACAATGGACAAAATTTAAAATTTGGCGCCTTTTCTGGAGACACCTGTTAAGGCAAGGTACGACTTGTTCCGTTGATGTAGGCATTAAGAGGATTGTGAAGCTGTAAATTTTCATACAA